GGGCAGCCGGGGGCCCCGCCACGTGCCGGGATCACAGTGCTTTTAACAATGGCACACGGTGATCATGACTGTGCCTCGTCCAAGCCAAGAATAATGGGTAAGGAGGGGGAGGTAGAGAAGGAAGCATCCCGAGAACTGCAGCCCCCAAAACAATGCATGGTGCAGGGCGTAGTTAAATGGTGTTACTTTCTCTTCTCCTGGTCTCTAGATCTATGCTTTGGCTCTTCCTTCTGATTAACTCTTGACATTCCCAAGAGTATGGTTGGAAGTGTGTCCCGTAGAGCATTTGCAGCCCCCATCCACATCGTCCTTGTTATCATAGCAGCTTCTGGGCAGATCTCCTGTGTTCCCAAACCCCAGTGGATCTGCGATGAGGAGCTAGAGGTGCCACCCCATAAGCCGTCTCCCCCCATGGTCCCGCTCACTCACAGCCGATGCCCCTTCTGTGGTCCAGCAGCTGGTTGAGCATCCTGCCTGATAGCTCCACAGCGCCTAAGTCACCATTATCCACCTACAAACATTAGGCTCCATTCCCTATGCATCTTGGAGCAGACCTCTTTTTTCTGCTTGCTGCATTAGAAAAGATAATTTTCCCCCTGAAAGGCCATGTCACATATAGAAAAACTTCTCAGAAATATGAAAACAAGAAAATTAAGTGACCACTAACTTGTTGTGGAAAATAATAAATAACACAGGTTTTGGGGTAAAGTTTATGATGTGCTTTTTAAAAAACACTGGGTCCTACATCTATACTTCCTAGGGGGAAAAATCCCTTAAAATAACTTTGAAGTCTTTGGCTAATTTACTAGATAAATCCACTGTGTATAAAATGGCATCTTTATGAGATAATGAATTAATCTCTAGGTTCCACCGGGGCCTAGAACTTTGAGCTTTGCTATAAATTATGGCGCCTGCTGCAGTTCTGTATCATACACACACACACGATGGGAACATTTTTTTCTGAACTGATTAATGGGATTGAACTAACTGCCTCAAGTATCTTCTTAAGGTTTTAAACCAATTATTCCTTAATATACCGAATATCAAATTATTTTTATGTTAGGTCATTTTTACAAACGTGTATTGAAAATTTAAAAAAAACCTTTGCCATGGAAGTTTGATACAGGATGAACTTGGAAGGAAAAATTTTAAATATCAGTTATTTGTAATCTACTGTCATTAAAATTTGCAAGTCAAAAAAGTAAATTACAAAGAAAAATATGGACAAATTATGACATCTGTTTAAAATGACATGTCAATTGTTATATGATAGCTGATCTAATTCTAGATTAACAAAGACACATTAATTTTGCTGTTTCACTTCATAGATAAAGGAAGATTGAATAGCACATCATCAGAAATAATAGGCTATGTTAATAGTGTGGGGAAAAAAACAAGAAGGAAAAGAATTGCAGTTTCCCGTATGGAAACAGAATCAACACAGAAAGCTTTTTTTTATTTTGGCATCTTTTTAGTTAATGAGACATATAGAAGAAAACAAATTTAGTTATGTTTAAGAAAAACCAGATGATAATCTTTATCCTGGGAAGTGTTTAGGACTATTTTCAATAATAGAGACACTTTCTTCTACTTCACAAGGTCTGTAACGTACTTTCCTCTTCAAAATTATGAGTGTTGCTGTCTTCTGGGAGAGGGAGGGAAGCCCATTCAATGCCCCCAATATTTTTACTGAATTGTCTAATTTATAGCAGTAGCGCCTGTGTGTGATCTCATTTTGCAGGATTTCTCCAAACTCTCTTGAGGATACGACCATAATCCATTATATTTTAGCCCCATCTTGAGAACAGAGAGTGTTGCCCACAGGTTTGGGGTTGCAGGACATTCATCCAACAAAAATGACCTTGCAAAGTCTTACCCCCTGCAACTCGAACACCTTCTTCTGATGGTCCCCTATGGAGTTCAGCCCCAGCTACCTTGTCAACCCCATAGAGATGGATCACATCTTCACATGTGTCTTCTGCTCCCCAATGTAAAAATCTGTCGTCATTACTGAAATATGCCTCTCTTTCACCCCCAAGGAGCTGTTCCAGAATGTCCTTCTCCTTTTGTCCGACTGGCAAGCTTCTACCCATGCTTCAACACCCAAGTAATGCCAGCTCCTCAGTGATGCCTTCCTTAGCCAACCCAGGGATTTCTGATTGCTCCTCTGGCCTATCACTGTCTTCTGCTCACCTGTATCTCAACACATATGCTGTGGTGCAGCACGTCCCTATAGTCTCCCTGTGTATGTGAGTCATCCTGTGGCCTGCTACCAGCAGTATCTGGCACCCAGCAGGTGCTTGGTACATGACTGTCCTCCAAATTAGTGGTTGAAAAGAGACAGAACACGTCTGAGTGCTTATAATATTGGAAAAATATTTTTAAAACAATTAAAATATTTCCAACTAATTTCCTTACCGTGTGCGTTTTTGATATTCCAGGCAGCTGGAGTTTGAATTACAGCATTTACAACAAATTTCAAAGTTAATTCTTTATATCACAACCCACATTGCATATTAAAATTTTAATTACTTTTAAGCAGTGAATTCAATTCTTTAAACGCATGCCCCTCCCCACCTGGAGTGCTCTGTTTGAGTTTCTACGTAATCATTTCGTGGAGAGTACATTTTGTTGAGTAGAAATTTTTGCCAGATTCTTATTTCAACCTTCAGTGGGTCGGATGTGGGGATGTGACTGTATGGGGGTGTGTTAGGATGTGGGGGCTAGGAAGGTGAGGAGGGGAAATAGTGCATGTAGACAAAACGTACATCCAAGGTGCAAGGGGCTGAGAAGCAGGGGAGCCTGGGAGCACATACTCCTTCCAGGTTGACTAGCCCACTCACACGGAGACGTCTCCACCTCACGCACCACACCTGACACCTCAGAGAGGGGTTTCTGTCATCACCCTTTTTTGTTTCTAGTGAGTTGATATGAAAACAAAGGTGTACACTGATTTAAAGGGCAGACTTGCTAAACGCAGAGCAGTGATAGTCTAGTCTGTACCTAAGACCTTTATCCAGTAGTTTTAATGAGATGCTCTAAATAGCACCCACAATTATTCTCCATTAATGGTGCTGTTGTTGATGGCTCCTCTTGGCGATTGAACAGTCTAGGACAAACATCAACACTTATGAGATACAAATAGTGGATTATTTCTTTGACAGCAGGTTGTCATTCCTGGTGTCTCTGTTACATGATCTGCTCCGATACCAGGGGCAGGATTCTGAGAGAGCAGATTTATAGCACCGACGGCTACCTCCCAGTGCCTCACCCAGGATTGTCTCATGTAATATGAGATTAAAACAAACAACATATAAGGGTGCCTGGGTGGCTCAGTGGGTTAAGCATCTGGCTCCAGGTTTTGATTCAGGTCATGACCTCATGGGTAGTGGGCTAGAGCCCCGTGTTGGGTTCTGTTGGGTTCCATGCTCAGTGAGGAGTCTCCTTGAAGATTCCCTGCCTCTCCGCTATTTGCAAGCTGTGTCTCTCCCTAAAATAAATATTGAACCCCCCCCCCCAAAAAAAACAAATGACATACTGAATGAGCATGTGTAATAACACTCTCGCTTTCCTCATCTGCCCCTAAAACTCTAGTTGCTTTCCTCCTTTCGTGACTTCCCGACTCCTTCCCATTTCCGCAAATGATCACATCCTTAACTCATTTGTGACAGCTGTTTAACTGGGGAAACTATTATTTCAAGTACTGGTGGGATTTGCTATGTGGGAACCACAGTGTTACCTAGTCACATTAACTCTCTATTATTAATCACTTGGAGGTCATTTTTAGAAAATAGAATGTAAAGCATTCCATTTCATATGCTTTAAAATCTAATCATCAATTACTTCAAATGCCTTACATGTTCAACTCATGTTTCTAAGGAAAGCACGACTGCCTGCCTCTTCATTTACTCTGTCATTGCTCATTAAACTGTGCCATTTCCCTCCATTAGGAGGATTAAAAGGTGGAAAATCTCCAGGTGCCACTAGTTAGCAAACTGTTCCTGGGGAATCAATAGTCTCATTTTTCTTTTCCTTTTTTCTTTAAAAAAAAAATACTTATCTAGTGAAAGAGAAACATTTCTCCCTGCTGGTGAATATATTTCCCTGGACTTCATTAAGCCAAGTAATAGGATCAGTGTTTAAATGATTAAGTAGGTATATAAGCTTTTACAAAAAGAAAATCTAATTAAGATAGGGCTCACAGAAATCAAGACACTAATAATTAACCCAAATGACTGCGATAGGTCTGTAAGAGGGTTATGCAAATGTGAGGCAGTATTATTATCATACGCGAGCAATGATGCAACGTTTTGGGGGGGGTTTAGGGTTAGAAGTATGCAGAATGCCCCATCTACTTGTATGTAATACAAGTATGTCATACATACTGGAGTAAAACTATTTTTTCCCACTCATCTTTAAGTTTTTATAAGCTCTCTGTACTGTTTCAGAAGCTAGAAAACAAGCCAACATTCCTAGAGCTTGCATTCCTGGTGACAGATTATTTCATCTCAGCAAAAAAGTCCTGCTCACATTTGCCAATAAGCATGAGGCACATGGAGGACCAATACGCAACATCGTGTCGCCAATTGGCACTTTGGCATCTGCCCACAGAGTTCTATACTCTTTCCCATTCGTAGCATGCCTAAAAAACTACACATGGAGCAAAAAGTTTGATAAAAATATATTTAAAACAAGCAAGAAAAAATAGTTTCAGCCTTAAGGATAACTTTCATCATTCATTTAACCAAGTAGAGAGTTAAATTATATGTAAAATGATTTCAAGTACCAACTTATAAAAGATGTGATAAATCAGAAAACAAAGAACCAGAGAACTTTTTTTTTCAGAAAAATGTATTTGCAATTCAAATGTTCATATAAAAAGCATAAATTTTAAAAAGTTCATAGATGTATGTTTTTAGAAGTGCTATGGTTTCGCCATTCATTGCAATTACATTCCAACATGTGCAGGGTGGTCTACACCAAGCCGCCTTACACTTTTGTCACACAGAAGTCACTCTCATCACAACCTCCCCTGAGCTATTATCTTCTGACAAATCTTCACGGGGCCTCATCCGATTGAACAGATGCAATAACACATAGCCACACTGAAACCTCGGGGAGGTCAACTGGGTTGGGTGGACCAAGTTCCTGTTCCGTAGAGCCGTCAATGGCAACCATAAAGTCCTGCTTGTGGAAGACTCTCCCCGGCTACTTTCTTCGATGTCTGTGGCTTTATCATAATTTAATACATCCCAGTGTAAGTTAACAGCTCGCCAGCGCTTAAATACTCTGTAAACTGCAGCTCCTTCGTGGACAATGAGACCTAAAATTCAAGGGGAAAAAAAAGGGGGGGGGGCTGATCATAATCAATAAAGTTAAGAATATTCTGTATACAAGTAAGTGATTAAAGAAATAGTCAATTCTCGGTTCCTCCTCATCATCAAGAAATATGGTATCCTGACTTCTCAAATATTATGGCTAACTTTCCAGATTATACAGGAATAATCAACATCCAAAGAATGAGAATACATTGACACGCACAGAGCAAGATTCCCAAGGACAAATTAACTTGCTCCATCACGGTGGAGGACATACATCGGGCACTTACATTGCCTTAAGAGAATCATTAGGTTTATTGATTCATTCACCATCTAATTGAGGGCCTACCGTGGGCCAAGCAATATGTTGGCGGCTTAGTCTCAACTGGTAGTTAATTGGGAAAGAGACATATTAAAGTCACTACCATCTTCCCAGTTCTTCAAAGTGTCCGACACGCAGGAGGTATGCTACAACTTTTTCTTATTTTTATCTCTTCAACAGTTCATCAAAAATGTATTTAGCACCTACTTGAGAGTTTCATGTATATGACCTCGTTCGGTTTTCACCGCAGCCTTACGAAATAAGTTTGAGCACGTCCCTCCCATTTACAAACAAGGAATGAGCTCAGGAGCAGACAACTAGTGACAGTGGAGGAGGGATTCCAACCCAGGTAGCCTGGCACCAGAGTCCTTGATCTTTGCTGATACAGTAGATTGGATGATTACACATTTCTGAGACAGACTCTCAGGAAAATAAGCAAGGTAACCCAAGAATCCCTGGGACCATTAGCTGGCAGCCTGTAAGTAGGATGCGGCACGATGACACATGGCTCCATCTCTGCCATCCAACCCAGATCTCACCACACCATGCATTTTTCATACATTCATATTTGAGCATGTGGCCCAAGAGCTTTTGAATTGGTGACGCCTCACAAGAAGAAATTCCTTGGGGAGGTCCCTCCAGATTGAGATGTGAGAAGGAGCTCTTCTCCTTCAGGAGCTGAAATTCCATTGAAATTTGGTAGACAGGGGTACCTGGGTGGCTCAGCAGTTGAGCGTCTGCCTTTGGCTCAGGTCATGATCCTGGGGTCCTGGGATTGAGCCCTGCATCAGGGTCCCTGCAGGGAGCCTGCTTCTCTCTCTGCCTGTGTCTCTGCCTCTCTCTCTGTGTCTCTCAAGAATAAATAAAATCTTATAAAAAAAAGGAAATTGATAGATCAATGAAGAGCCTTTTCTCAGATGGAATATGGCATGCAAGTACAGTATGTCAGTTGGCCACAAGCACTGTTTAATGATAAAATGGAAAGTGAGCAGATCCTACCTCCCACTATTTAGACCTTGAGTAATGGCTTAGAGAAACTCACAAATGTGAACAAGGAATCGTGTACAAAAATGTTTATTATGTAGGGGCGCTCGGGTGGTGCAGTCCGTCGGGTGCCCAACTCTTGTTTCAGCTCAGGTCATGATCTCAGGGTCGTGAGATTGAGCTCTGCATGAGGCTCCACGCTCAGTGGTGGGGTGGGGGACGCTTGAGATTCTCTGTCACCCTCTCCCTCTGCCCCTACCCTCCTTTTCTCTTTTTTTCTTTCTAAAAGATATAATCTTTTAAAAAAATGTTTATTATGTAATTGTTCGTATTTGATGGGGAAAATCCCAAACAATACCCAAGTGCATTCGGAGACGAAGGAATAAACTGCATTGTGTGGATGAATGGACACAGCAACGCAACTGAAGAGAACAAAGTCACTCACACTAACATGGAGAAATCTTACAAGAGCAGAAATCTCAAAGTTGCGTGAAGAAAAAAGTGCAAGTGTCAGAAAGAAATGACTCGGGTAAAAATATGCTACACAGTTTTATATATTCAGATATGTATGTAAAGCATATAAAAACATGCATAAAAATAATAACCATGAAAGACACGATAGTGGGGAGCAAAGAAAAGAAACAAGTCCAGGAGAGGCTTCAAATAGGCCTTTCGGACTGTATCTCTAATGTCACATTTTTTTATGCTGGGTGGTGGAGATGTGGCTGTTCAACATACTCTGCTTACTTCCTTGTGCCTGAATAATTCATACTTTCAAAAATTATAGAGAATTTATCAGGAAAATTTATCTCAGATGTATTGAGGCATAGACAACTAAAGTTGTGGAGACAAATAGGGAGGTTAGCACATTGCTTGTGGGGAGCAAAGTAGAAGCAGTAAGGAGACTATAGAAGAAGAGAGTAACACACTTGTCAGATTTAAAAAAAATTGATAGAACAGTAATGCAAGAAGCAGTAAGAATCAGAGTCTTGTATTTTTAAGGCTGGGTGAATGGGTGATTGAAAGCATGATAGTTAACTTTCCCTTAGGTACAATAAGTGTTTTGAACATGGTGTTGTTGGGGGGATTACTTCAATTTTTTTGTCAGCTAAAACAATGAGAGGTCGGTGATGGAGAGACCCAGTTTTTAAAAAATCACAACTACCAAATACCAGAATTTAAGTTTTACATCATCTCTTACTAAAAGATAAACTTCCGGATACACATAACTTAAGAACATTCCAAGAACATTCCACATCTATGTGAACATAGATCACTAAAACATGCATGCAGTCTAGTAAACAAAAATAGCTAAATAATAATTATGGAATGCCACCAAAATAATGAGGAGAAATGTAAACTTCTGTTAATCACAACAATTGCAAATAATTGTTTTGATCGATTCATTTTCCTAAGGAATAACTGACACGACTGATAGATATTTTTGGGAAACATCCAGAATTAGAAGTAAAGACTACCAGATATTAATTGATGATTCTATTATTAGCCTTCCGAAATCTCCGTGGGAGATGATTTAACTTTTCTGGCTCTATTTTTCCTCATTAAAACACGATCAGAGTACCTAATCTATACTTTCAGTAGGATAGTATGAAGACAAATTGAAATTCATCAATTATAAAGCACTCAAATTTCCTCAAGATGGTAGCTCTATAAACACAAGACATTATTATTAATTAAAAAGTCAATAGTGGATCTATGTGGTGAGAAACACTCATTCACACTAATCACATAACCATTATAGCTTGCAACAGGTTCATTCTGGAGAAGTGCAGTGATGCGGGATGGCTTCACCCCAGGAAACCACTCATTTTGCAGGATCCTATTCTTTTTTTATTGATTTCCTTTGAGAGGCCAGAAATCAGATCATTTACTAGAGCTTAAAGCCACTTTCTGGGAATACATTTCTGGTAGCCCTTTTCTAAATACATAAATCTACCCAGTGTGCAGAAATAAATCCCACAGGTCTTTGTGGTACATTCTGAACTGAATTTAGAGAGGGAGCTACTTGAAGTTTTCGTGAAGACATAGTCCTCTTGAATTTCCAGCTCCATGTGCTGTTTCTTAATCGCATTTCAAGTTATGAATGATGCTTAGATTTTGTTTTATTTCCCATAAGCGCTCAGAATTACTCCATGCCCTTTAGAAGCTTCAATTTTCCTGAAATAGGAGGAATGCCACCCCACTCCCAAGGTTGTCCTTTGTAATGTGCATTTTCCTCTTTCTTCTTTAAATCTTCTAGAATTACAGCAAATGCCGTTTTCACTTGAGGTAATGAGAACATAGGACAATTGCTGAAATCCAAGAGTAAGGATTCATTCAACTTTAGCCCATATGCTGAAAACCCAACTATTAAAAATCATACTGCCACACTTTCTTACTGATGCTCTTGTTTCCTCTTGTTTCACAACTGAGAAACTCCCTTTCTCCAGTCGCTTTGCTGAGTAATACCTCAAGTTAAGTCTTAAAATGAATTTGTCACCTTGACATTTCAGGTCACATAAGAACAGGCTTAGATTTTATTTTTGCATCTAGTCACTAGACCTAAAAGGAAAAGCAATGATAATGTCTATAAAATGTAAATATTAAATATTTTAGGATACTTGTTATATTAATAGCATGAACGTCAACAAAGTGTGATTCATAGGAACTTGGGAGTTTTGAGAGGTGTGTGTGTGTGTGTTTGGTTCTTTCTCTATCATTTTCCTTCCAGTAGCATCTAATTGGAGCATCCCCTTATTGATGTCAAAGGAACATTTTTGTTAGGGAATAATCTTCTTAAAAAAATGTAAGTTTAAATGTTTCTGGTTTCACTGGAATAAAAGCACAGTGTTTATGTATAGATAAAATATATCCCAAACCTGCGAGTGTTGCATTGGTTGAAATTCTCATATTGTAGTAGAAAATGAATTAATTACCCAAAGAAATGATGGGGGAGGCTATCAAGGTACATATGCTCACATGCACACACAAGTGCGCGCGCGCACACACACACACACACCAACACCACCACCACTTGTGTTTATTTCAACACAAACCAATGATGTGTTATAATTAACAGAAGCTTGAAAAATGTATAATCAAATACTAAAACATTTTTGATATTAACAACCGAACTACTGATCAAATCATTTAATGATTTGTATTACCAGTGTCAGCTCTTGTTCAAATAGGTTTGGTTGTTTTCAAAACTTAAATTTTTATCAAGGATCTATTTTGTGCCAAGAACCACACTAGGTGCTTTATGTGCAAGATTTCCATTTAATCTCGACAGCAACTCTACCAATAGATACCATGACTGAACAATTTCATGGTTGAGGAAATTGCGACTCAGGGATTCAAGAACTGTTCAACATCAGGAAGATATGAGAATAAGAGAAGAGATTGGAGCTCAGATGTGTCTACATATAAACCTTGAGTATTACAGTCCTATTCTTGATAGATTTCAATGTAAGGCAGTCTCTCTTAGTCATAGAATTAAAAGCAACTAAAAGAGTCCTTTCCATGGACTGACTGTCTCTCCAAAATTCATACATTGAAGCCCTAATCCCTAATGTGATGGTATTTGGAGGTGGGACCTTTGGGAGGATAATTCGGGCTATTTTAAGTCATGAGGGGGAGACTCTCATGATAGGATTAATGTCTTTATATAAAGTAGAAGAAACACCAAGGAAAGGCCAC